TCATTGATGTTTCTCTCTCTCTCTTCCCTCTTACTTCCTCTTTGAAATTAATATATATATATTTTTTTAAATAATGAAAATAAAAATAAACGTTGACTCTCCCATGCGCGATACAAAAAAGCTCTTGCTGGTGCCAACCATACATGGTGCCAATTGCATGCAATGCCAGAATGTATCTGAAGATCAACTATTGGCACAATGTACCTTTGAAGCCAAAAGAAATTGGCATCGTTGACAGAATGTATCAGAAGAACAACTATTGTTTAATCAATTTATCAGTCATTGTTTTTGTCAATGTTTTTATATCATGCTTTTGTTGTTTTTATATCATGTCTTTATTGTTGTTTTATCATGTTGTTGTTGATTTATTAATTTATCTATCACTAGAGGCCCAGTGCATGACATTAGTGCACTCAGTGGACGAGGGAGTACTCATCTGAGGATATTTTTCCATTGTTTGGCGGAGGAGGGAGAGGGTGTCCCTCAGTCCGGCCTGCACCCTTTCACAGACCAGGAGCCCTCAGAGGATGTCTGACTGACTGCGTAAGTGCTGCCGCAGAGGTGGGCTGCTGCTGTCAGCCTGACTTATGGCTGAGTGGTGCTTCCCCTGTGGGAGTGCACAGACCATCAGGGGGCAGCTTCTGCACTGAGCGTCTGCCCCCTGGTGGTCAGTGTGTGTCATAGTGACTGGTCATCCCGCCGTTCAGCCGATTTGCATATTACCATTTTATTATATAGCATTGTTTTTATCAATGCTATTTTTATATCATGTTTTTATTTTCATATCATGTCTGTTTTTATATTATGTTATTATTTATTAATCAATTTATATATTATTTTCATATACATTTTATTCCATCTCTGACACTTCTATTATAGAGAAAGAGCAAATAGCAATATTAAAATATAAATTTTATAATACTATACTAGTAGCCCGTTGCAGGAAGATTCCTGCAATAGGGTTTCCTGCTGTGCTCTCTCCCGGCCCACCTGCTTTCCTCCTTTCTCCCCCGGCCCCGCCTACTTTCCTCCCTTCTCTGCAGCCCTGCTTGCTTGCTTCTTCACATCTTCACTACCTTCTGCAGCGCTAAGCTTCACTTCTTTCTAAGCTGTCTTGATATGCAAATCAACCTCCATCTTGGTTGAGTTAATTTGCATATTCGCCCTGATTGGCTGGTGGGCGTGGCTTGGGTGTAGTGAAGGTGCAACAATTTACATATTACTCTTTTACTAGGTAGGATTATATGTATTTTGACACATAATTTTTTGCAGTAATGTAATTACCATACAAATCTAATTAATTTCCTTTCAATGTGCACAAACCCATGCACTGGGCCACTAGTTATATTAAAAAATACAAACCATTATATTAAAAAATATATTGTAGCCGAAACCGGTGTGGCTCAGTGGATAGAGCGTCGGCCTACGGACTGAAAGGTCCCGGGTTCGATTCCGGTCAAGGGCACGTACCTTGGTTGCAGGCACATCCCCAGTAGGGGGCGTGCAAGAGGCAGCTGATCGATGATTCTCATCGATGTTTCTAACTCTCTATCCCTCTCTCTTCCTCTCTGTAAGAAATCAATAAAATATATTTTAAAAATATATATTGTAAGAGTCTTTTCTGAAGTCAAAGTTTTGACCTGCTTAAATACAGCTATTTTTCTGGTCAGATATCTAAGCCAGCTTTTTAAATTTTTTGAACAGTTTATTTTAGAGGATGAGAGAGAAATATCAATCAACTGCCTTCCTAATGCACTTGCCTCCTTTTGGTGCACAGGAGGATGCTCTAACCAACTAAGCCACACTGGCCAGGGCAGCTTTTTTTTTTTTTTATCACATGTTCTGTAACTAGCAGTTACCATATACACTGCTTTTTTTTTTTTCTACAGTGCTTTTTGACTATAATAGAACCAGAAAGTCCCATGCTCAAAAATATCTCTTCTACACGCTTTACCAAATTAATTTGATTAACAAACTATTTTTTTTTTTTAATGCAATCGCTTAGTTTTCTTAAGAAAACTTAAGACTGCCTGGCCGATGTGGCTCAGTGGTTGAGCATGGATCTATGAATCAGGAGGTCACTGTTGGATGCCCCATTAATGCACATGTCCTTGTTGCAGCTCTATTCCCAGTAGGGGGCATGCAGGAGGCAGCCAATCAACGATTCTCTCATCATTGATGTTTCTACTTCTCTCTCCCTCTCTGAAATCAATAAAAAAAATATTTTTTTTTAAAAAAGGAAAACTTAAGACAAAGGGCCAGAAGAACATAATGTGTGTGGCGAGGGGGAGAGGGGGAGCGGTGGACCACGACGACGACACACAAGGAGAGGACGGGGGTGAGGATAATGGAACAAAAAACTGGTTAAAAAACGAATGATGTGGAACTTATAAAAAGTATATAGGAATCCAGTAACAAAATGTACATATCGTCAGACATTGGTGTTCTCTCACTTTGCCCTTTTTAAACACTCACTTTGCCCTTTTCCTGACCCTGCACCTCGCAGCAAACGCCACCCAGCTCCCGATTTTCACTTGCAAATTAATTGGTCAGGAAGGGGAATAAGGAAGCCCCATTCCTTCAACAAATTCACCTGTGCACGCACCCTGCGCTCACAGAACTAAAGCCTAGCCTGGCCCCCAGGGCCTGGGGCGTGTGTGGCAGGTAGAGGACGGGCTCCGTGGAAGTGGGGGCGCAGTGGGGACCCGGAGAGGAAGCGAGGGGCTTGGTCCGCGCCTGCCCGGGAGGAAAAGCGTTCACAGCGGGAGAAGATGGAAGCCGGGGGCGAGGACCGGAGGGACCGCAGGCTTTGAGAGCAGCAGCCACCTTTGCGGGCGCGGCGGGAGTGCGAGGGGCAGAGGGCGGGCGCCGGGCCTCGGAGAGCGGTCCGGTCTGTGAAACGCGGGTGCTGAGCCCAACGGCCCCTCAGTCACTCCCGGGTCCTGAGGGCCGCGGGCGAGCCGGGCGGAAGCGGCTGCCGGGCGGGCGGCGGAGGCCCCTTCCAGGCGCCGGAAGAGCGGGCTTCTCGGGTCGGGGCGCCGGCGCCGACTCGCCAGGGCTGAGGGCGCACAGGCCGCCAGGCCCGGGGCGCCGGGTGGAGCCGGCCGGCGCCGCGGAGGAGCCCCGCGTCACCAGCGGCCGCCGCAGTGCTTCCCGGCATGCCCCTCTCCGGGAGCATTTCAAACCCCGGCAACAGCCTCCGCCGCAGGCCCCGCCGCCCAGCAACAGGCGGTGGCCCGCGCCTCATTGGCCGGCCCCGCGTCCGCGCGTTCTGATTGGCTGCCGTGCCTCCCGGCCGCTCCTGCGCTCGCCGCAGCCTCCATTTTATCGGCAGAGACAGGAGGAGGAAGTCGTCGGGACCCTGAGGTGGCCAGCAGCTGGGTCGTGGGTGCTCGTGGGCTGTGTCCGTCTCGTGCCTCGTCTCTCCCTGGAAGGGGAGGGGGCTTCGTTACCGGCAGGAGCCGCCGCCGCAGTCCCGAGCTTGAAGTCGGTGAGTGGCGGCGCCGTGGGCGCGGCCATGTTGGCGGCCTGCTCCCCATTGTTGGGGGAAGGAGGCGAGATCCGGGAGCCCGTCGGGGCGCGGGCGGCCGGAGGGCCGGGGTCCCAGGGTCCCAGGGTCCCGGGCCCGGCGGAGACGGGCGGAGCCCTGCCGGAAGGAGCGAACTTCCGGGATCGCGTTGTGAGTGACTCACGGCCCCGGAGATAATGAATTTAAGGCTGTGATAATTAATTTCAGGGGGGCCTATTGATAACTTCGTTTCTCATGTCTTGGAATAGCGAGTGAAAATGAAGTGTGGAGGGTCGGGAATTGACGGCAGGGAGGGGAACTGGGCGGCTGTGAGAACTTAGGAAACGGGGAGGGGTGGTGTTCCTGACGGAGGAGGAAGCGCTGCGTGATTGGACACGTTGGGGAAACAGGCTTGTGAAGACGATGTGTCGAAAGAGGACGAATTCTCTTGGGACTTTAATAGCACGATCTTTTTAGACAACGAATTTTAAGCTAACTCAACATTGTGGTCACGAAAACCGTTTGAGAATCTGAAAAGTTCCCTGGGAAAAAGATACCAACAGCTTATGGGGGTGGGAGTGGGCGGGGGAGACACCCTTCCGGTCCCCAAGTTCCCTGGGAAGGAGTCTTGGGTCTCCTGGTGGAGAGTTCTTCAATGACAGTTATAAGGTAAAGCAAGCCATCTTCAGATTTTCTGCCTTTTAGTTCAGGAAGTAGTAGACTATTTCTGTAGTAAATGTAAACGATCGCTTTTTCTACTGTGTTTATTTGAATTAATGAAGTCCCTTTCCTTTTCTAGCTAAGACTTCTCTCAAACTTGTGTGCTGAGGCGACTCAGATGTTGGCCTCAGCTCCTAGGCTGAACTCAGCGGATTGGCCCATGAAAACTTCTGTATTGAGACAAAGGAGAGGATCTGTGAGAAAGCAACATCTATTATCCTGGGCTTGGCAACAAGGAAGAGGACAGGTGGTGGAAATCCTGCAATCTGAAAAGCAGACTGAAAGGTATTTAAAAAATCCACGTTGTAACCGGGTAGAACCTTTTACGGTAGACACATCCTAAACCACTTGCTTTTTTTTTTTAAATACAGGATTTTTCAGATTTGTGGGTAAGGTAATTTTTCTAAGAAAGGTAATAATTGCATATAATGAAGTGTGAACATACAATGAAGTTAAAGCAGCTAAATAGCACATTTAAAAATTTTTAAATTGACTTTTAGAGAGAAAGAGGGAGAAAAAGATTTGTTGTTCCATTCATTTGTGCATTCATTGGCTGCTGCTTGTATATGTCCTGACCAAGGATGGAACTTCAACCTTGGCATATCTGGAAGATGCTCTAACCAACTGAGCTCCTCTGCCAGGGCCGAGGAGCACATTTTCTAGTCTTCCCCAAGGTTTCTGGAGTAACAAGTTGGGGCTTAAAAGTTTTGAGTTTTTCTTAATGGAATCTTATTTTGTTTCCATTCATTTACAGGTGACAAAGAAGCTGAAGATGGGTGGTGGAGAGAGGTATAACATTCCAGCCCCTCAATCTAGAAATGTTAGTAAAAACCAACAACTTAATAGACAGAAGACCAAGGATCAAAATTCCCAGATGAAGATGGTTCATAAGAAAAAAGAAAGAGGACATACTTATAACACACCAGCAGCTGCATGGCAGGCCATGCAAAATGGGGGGAAGAACAAAAACTTTCCAAATAATCAAAATTGGAATTCCAGCTTATCGAGTCCCAGCTTGCTTTTTAAGCCTCAAACTAATCAGAACTATGCTGGAGCCAAATTTAGTGAGCCGCCATCACCGAGTGTGCTTCCTAAACCACCAAGCCACTGGGTTCCTGATTCCTTTAATCCTTCTGATAAGGAAATAATGACATTTCAACTTAAAACCTTACTTAAGGTACAGGTATAAAATAAGATCAAGTATTAATGTTTAAAGTAGGGTAGTTGACAATAGTTTCATACCAAATTCAATGTTCAGCAATTAATCTGTGTTAAGCCCCCTAATTAATGTAGAAAATGCAGACTTCCTCTTGTCTTGTGTTGCTTTGCACTGTGATGTAATGGTAGTATCAGTGCCACTTAAGATAACTAAGTTACTGATAATTGTACTTATATCAGGTGTTCTCAATTGAGTAACTTTTAAGCAAAACTATTCAAGTTTAGATTTGGGGAATGATAAGGGAATCAACTTTTTCTCTTGTGGGTAAAGTAACGAAAAGTGGTGCATGTGGAAGAGGCACTAGGAGCTAGTTAGAATGAGACTATCCCCCATTGGCCCTGTTTCTTATATGCAGTGGATAGGTGACTGCAACCAACGTGCCAAAACCATTTTTTATAGAAAGTTATTTGGTGGTCACAGAATAGCTTTTAAAATACATTTTTGTATTATAGCACTGCACAGGCTATTCTGATAGTGTTTGGCCTCAAATCATTCCTGCAAAGCTTGCTTAAAGTAGGGAGTTATATAATGTGAAAGTACCCAGGAAAGAAAGAGCCATGTAAATAAATACATGTAATATACTTGTAGCATATGTAAAGTTTTGCCATTCATCTTAACAAAAACAAGAGTATTTTAGTATGAATTTACTAATATAAGACCATGGACTCTTTTTTTACACTATGGCCTAATTTTAAAGGTCTGAAATAAAGTTTGCCCTTGTGCTAAAGTGCCAGTGTATGTATGTTATATGATCTGGTTGTAAACTATATTTCAAAGTAAATCATAGTGTCGCTAAGTTTTATATAACTGAAAAGGTTTTAAAGCTGCTGAAACACTTCCTATTTGTAAAAGATGTGAAATGCGGTATGGGACTATTAATTTTTATTCCTTAAACCCAAAGATAAACTTGTTAAAGGTCTATCCAACCTTAGAAATTTATATTCACTTTGAATGTTTTTAACCTATGATACAAGTATATTTAATCATGCCAGAGTTTGTCACCATTAAGTGCAACCAGGGGACCACTTATGCAAAATATTTCTGCATAGTATCTTGATAACATGTCTGACCTTTATAAATAAATGCTAAGGACAATGTTAACCAAATAGTAAGTTAAAAATGTGTAAAGATCAATTAAAATTCTGATTGTAGCCCTGCTGGTGTAGCTCAGTAAGATCAATTAAAATTCTGATTATAAGCCCTGCCTGTGTGGCTCAGTGGTTGAGCATTGACCCACAGACCAGGTCACCAGTAAGACTCTGGGTGATCCCAGTGGAGGGTGTACAGGAAGTGGCAGGTCGATGTTTCCTTTTCTAAAATCAATAAACAGGGCCCTATTTTCTAATTTGGCAGGATGGTTTGTTTTTTAATGTTTTATTGATTTTTTTTTTATAAGAGGGAGAGGGACAGAAAGAAACACCTGTCAGCTGCCCCCTTACACACCTCCCACTGGGGATGTGCCCCAAACCAATGTATGTGCCCTTGACCAGAATCTAACCCGGAACCCTTCCGTCCACAGACTGACGCTCTTATCCATTGAGCCAAAAACCGGTCTTGGTGGGCAATTTTTACGATTTTCAGGCAGAATGACCAAGTTGTGTGTATTCAAATAAATTAAGGCAAGCTAATGTTTCCCAACTCATCCTAAAGACAAGCTTATTGTTCCTAAATGTGCATATATGAATTTGAAACACTGAATTAAAACTGCTTTTTCTACCCAGTGCCTTTTTTACTTTATAAAATATTGCTATGACTGCTTACTACTTATTCTTAGAGCGCACATAACCCAACTGAGGATCAGGTTTGGTTTTAATTACTTTTGAGAAATCCCCCTCCTCCCACCACTTAAGACTAACAGCAAAAGGCTGCAGGCAGAATAAGCTGCTTAGTTTGCTTATCAAGTTGAGTAAAGCGGGTTTATTCAAATCTCCCTATTCTATGTTCTAAGACACAATTCCTAAAATGAACGAGAATCCTTTAAATTCTACACTAGCACAGCAATGCTATGTACTCACACAAACGGAAATAATTGATTTGTAGGAAATTAACATATATTACCACCCCCCTCCATTATATCTGGTGTCATTTATTGAAACACCAAAGTATTGCCAAGTTTTTCTTTTAGGACCAAGCAATTCTCACCACAGATCTTTTGATAATTTATGGTTTGTATATATATAAATGCGGTGTAAATTGATGGTAAACACAATACAATATACAGGGGGTGGTCTGGCTAATGTCTGAGTAATAACCCAGGCACCAAGAGGTTGCTAACTTGATCCCTAGTTGGTGTGCAGGAGGCAGCTGAACCATGTTTCTCTCCCTTCCCTACCTCAAAAATAAAAAAAATTTAAAAACAAAATATATTCAGGGAGTGTATTGTAGAACTATATATCTGAAACCTGGAGTCTTATTAACCAATGCCACCCTGTAATTTCAAAGTGTAGCCCTGCCTTGGCTGGCATGGCTTGATTGGGTGTTCTCCCATGCTAAAATGTCACCCTGATTCTGGGTCAGGACATATGCCCTAGTTGTAAGCAGCTAATGTTTCTCCCTTTCTCATAAATAAAATAGTGTTGACTTTTATGATTGAAATGATAGAGGATTGAGGGCGGGTAAGTTTTAACAGCTAAGGTAATCTAAATAAAAGGTGAATGATATCAACATCACATACTTTAGAAAGGCATAAAATTGTGGTTAGCCTTACAGTGACAGGAATTTCCCAAATCACTGTACTTGAGGAAACCAAAATATACTTAAAGCTATATTGTGAGTCTTAATGGCAATCGTGTTAATATTTACATTTATCTTTTGATGGCAGTGTATAGTACCGGGAATCTGAGTCCTTAACCTACACTTACAATTTAAATTCTGCTAAGTTCTCTTCCTAAAAACAAGCACAAAGTAGCAAGAAACAGAGGGGTTTGGGGCAAGTTTTCTAGTATTTGTTTTCTCATAGGCATTTGCAAAACAAGGATAGTGTATGTCTTAAAACCTTACACACAAAAGAAAGCCCCAATATTTTTTGGCTCCTAGACGAGTTTATTTCTCCATTATTCAAAGAGATGTGATCCATAAAAAACTTCACATAGGCCTTTTACTTAACAAACTACTCTGGCAATTATCAATGAAATGAATTTAACATGCCTTGCTTTTATTCCAAATAAAAAATAATCCCATCTTTAATATAAGGGTGAAATAAGGTTAGGAATACAAAACATAAAGCACTAAACATTAACAATGTTGGAAGAAGGGACAGAGGGTGAAAACCCTAGAAAGAACCTTTCCATAGCAACCAGTCCTGTCTTATGGATGTCAATAGCTGGAGACAAATAGATTGCTTTTACTTCATTTTTATGGATGAGAAATTTATTTCTGGGGATTCTTAAAAGGCTTTAATAGCTCTCTTAGCAGAATGCCATTAGATTATTCCTGAGTTACCCCTCTGCTGTCTCAAGTCACAACTCCCCTATTTCAGAATATCTCAGGATTTTGTAAATGGGAATACGATAAAAATGCCATATTGAAATTTGGGAAACCAGCCTGGAAAAAGTGTGTCACAACAGCTGTGAGAGCTTGGGTTACATTTAACTTCTTCCATTCATTAGAGTCACAAAATATTTTTTTGCAATTAAACTATCTTATAAATCTTCCCTCAGTGAACCTTAGATTCCCTTATAATTTTAAGCTATAAAACCCATTTGTTAAAAAGTACAGTGCAAAACTGTGACAAAGATGAACTAAATGAAAAATCATGGACTCCAGTTAATCTGCCATTCTCTTATCTTGGCCAAGTTCAAAATTTAACATGAGTAAAAATAACCTCCAGTTCAGGATTGAAAAACTTACATAAACCTCCAGTTCATATCTCCCCTTAGTTATGTGTGTTCTGCTATATTTTTGAAATCTTTACAAAACCCACATTCTTAGATGAATAACATTAAGTTTAAATGTGGCAGAACCATGACAAAAATAAGAGCAATGGAATCAATATATAGGCAAATAGCCTTCATATCCTAATAAGGAACTAAGAAATCCAAAACATTTTGTGATACTATAAAAGTTATTTATTCACTATACACAGAACATGTCCCCTACAAAATGTACATGTCAATCACTAAAAAGTATAACTTGGCGAACATTTTCTCAGTTACAGAACATACTAAATCAGTTGGAATAACAGCTCTCTTTCTGCCTCAAAATAATCTAATTATAGCACCCAGTGTCCTGTATATCTAATGCAAAATCAAATACTTTTGGAGGGGATTATCTCCTAATGTGTGTTTGAGGAGGCAGTTAACAATATAATTCTAGTATATTACAGTCACTGCACAATAAATCAGTTTATTACAGATCAAAACATTTTTTCATTATTTGTATTAATGGGATGCAAACAGAAATACCAGATACTTTTTAATGTCAGGTAACCACAAAATTACTTATCTTTGATAGTATACTGGGTTTTATAATTACATTAAGATATGGTGTAAAATATTGTCAAACAATACACCTCAAAACAATGAGGCCATTCTGTAATGTCATTCACTAGATTGTGCTCAGACATTTATTGAATAAGTGAATTTTAAATCTATTTTTCCTCCCAATTATCCAGTACAATTGTTGCTTATAGTAAAGGGCTCAGTAAATGTTTGTGAATATGCTAAGAAAGAGGTGAGATGTAGAACCTCTTAACTGGATGTCAAGTATTATAATTAGAATTTACCTGGGAATAGTGTTTAAGGAAGATGTAAACTGCACATGGCATACAGGTAAATAAACTCAGATGCCAATAAAGCAAACCATTAAACAATAAAACACTGGCACTGGAACAAAGGCAATATTTGTCAATAGCAAAAATGAATCTGACTTTAAGAGAGAACCAAGAAAAAGTTTAAATTGGACCATGCCTTTTCTCACCCAATTGTTTCAGACAGACCAAAAGCAGCACTGTAGGAGACTTATGGCTGTCTACCGTGATATTCAGACATCCTAGTTTCCAGTAATTTATTATGGACCTGTTATCCATGAATCAAATATAAACCTACTCAGACTTAGGGATTAGTTTCCACAAGTACAAAGCTGAATTTCCTTTTATTGTCCTAAAATGCTTACTTCCAAACTTGAAGGGACTTCAATTATTCCATGTAGTTTCAATAACATTCTTTTATCTTTTCAGACCAGAGTCAAAATATTCACACAGTATTCATACTGCAGCACCTTCCACCCACCCTTTGGTCGCTTGAACTGCCCTTCTTTGGTTCTTTTCCGCTTTTCTCAGATCTTTCTTGAAGTGTAGTAAGCAGAACTGTACTGGGTATTCCAGCTGCAGTTTGGTCTTAAATAAAAGAAGGATGTTTGTCAGTTTGGTTTTCTTTATTCTTCTCTGTGGTATACAGGATTTTGTTAGTTGAACTGGATGTAGCAGCTTACTGAGCCAGATTTTCAAGAGAACAGTACAATAGTTCCCAGGGTTATACCTTAATAGCTCATACACTAAGTAGCACACCTTTTCTTTCTCACTGAGGCATTATCTGTCATTTCTCTTCTTGCTTATTTGGCTTAAAACAAAATGTAAAAAGAGGTGAAGTGTCATCCCTCACTTGAGTCTTGATGGTTTAATATATTAAGCAGTGCCAGACACACAGTAGGTACTCAATAATTATGTAACTCAGGTATGTAACCCAAAATTAAAGCACTGTGTAAGGATCCTCATCAATATCAGTAGGATCATAACTCTTATGGGTTCAACTATAATATAGTCCTTTGGAAGCTCTGTTACATATTTTATTTCAGAAATAACAGACGAGTCTAAAAATAAGACACAAGTAAAAAAAAAAAAAAAAAAAAAGAAAGAAAAAGAAAATACAAGGTCTTTTAATTCTAGAGATTGAGAATCATCTCCTCAATGTACTTTTCTCAAATTGTAATCCACTAAAAAACAAAAACAAAACACAAAACAAAACAAAAAAACAATCACCAAACCACAAGAGGACCAGGTTTGGACTCAATAATCTGGCCCTTTATTTGTGCCTCAATTTCCTTATCTGTGATATAGGGAAGATAAAAGTATCTATCTAATAGAGTTTTGTGAAAAGTAAAGGAGCTAACACATAAAAAACTTTTAGAACAGTGTCTGGCACATCATAAATACTCAATAACTATCAGCTATAATGGTTGCCATTATTTAGTAGCTGGAATTCAAAAACCTAAACCAGCTCCCCAGTTATCACTTATTAATTGCCTATCAAATTCAATGCAAAAGCATTTTAAACCATGCCATAAACACAAGACCTAACATATCTTGTTTAGGACTGGGAAGAGCAGAATTATTGGTCTACCCAATAAACTTCTAATCAGCTGACCAAATTTCACTTTAATGCATATCTTAACACTACTAATAACCTCTTAAGTTATTTAACTCAAGGGGCTTTGACATTACATAAGGAATTTTTAAGTACCATGTAAAAGATGTACCTTACTGGTAAGTTCTATTCATTTCCAAAGTAAAAGTTAGTTGTGCCTAGTGAAACACTGATTAAAACTATTCCTCAATCTACAAAAGATTCCATGTTATTTTAGGATCTCATTAAAAACTATAATAATTCCAGTTAATCATTATTTCCTTCATTTTGTTTTTATTATAGCATGTTTGCTTCATTTACAGCAAGCAGAAAATAAACTGGGTCTTATTTTGATCCAAACATTGATGTTTTAAAGGTTGTACACAATATTAGTTAAAAAGAACATATAAAAATACCTTTTTAGAAGCTTCTATAAGAAAGAAAATACAGTTTAACCCCACAACTTTCCTCTTTGCTAGAACTGCAAACTACTGCTACAGTTTTAAATAGACTTTTTTTTTGTTGTTTAAACTATACATCCAGGAAAATCTAAAAAATTAAAGAAACGTGCATATAAATGATTGCATAGCAGAACATGAACATTAACTGCAAAACAGTAAAGAAATGAGAGTTAGAAATACTATCAAATATACAAAGGTCCTAGAATCAACCTTTAAACACATTCCACAAACAGTATTTAAAAACCACCTTTTGTTCTTTACAGGCAAGGCCTATATTACTAAAAGCAAAATTGAAAAAAGCAATCCTCTAAAAGGAGTCGTTTTCCCACAATATTTCTTACTTATAACCTGGCAAGCAAGCAATCTAAAAATTTTGAAGATGCTAGCTTTTATTCTGAAATGAGACTGGACACATCAAGTAACTTATTGTCCCTAAAACGATCTCTCAGAGAAATGCTAGAAATTATAAAATGGTTAAAGGGAATTTTTTCCTCATTTTTAGTCAGGTACTACACATTGATAATCCATCAACTCTTTTTCATGGCACCACAGAATCACCTAGAATGGGAGTGTCTTTCAATTTGCCTCAAATTAAATGAACAGGTGTGAAGAACAAGCCTCCTTCATAAAGAGGTAGGCAAATTTTGATACAAATGCACATACAACAAGTGCTATAAGCATCAAAATGCAGTTCTTCTACACTATGTACACACAAACTTACTGTGAAACAATTAACTTGTTTTTAACAGCAGCAAAAACTAAGCTGTTATGGTCAACAATGTTCTTTCAAGTTGAGAGTAACTACATAAGAGCATCATTTCCACCTTAAATTTGTCATAATTGACCTGTTCAAATTTTAAGGTGAGTTTTTTTGTTTATATATTCCAAATCTTAGAAACCAGAAAAAAAAAGCAGTGAAGGCTCCATGTTTCAATAAAAACTCAATCTCCCTTGAAATGCTACTTAATCCAGTTGCATCACTCCCTAAGATGGTGGGGTTAAGAAAAGAATTATTCCACACTGGGTCATAAATTAACTATTTTCACGGGCCTAGACATCTTAAGACAAAAAGGTCCACCCTGAACCTAAATGTGTTTGATCACTCAGTGTACTGTGGCTACAACTTCACTTTTGTATCATTCTATCTTATTAGCAAGCTATATTTCTAGGTTAACAGGTCTACCAAATATGGATATGTTTGTTTTTAATAAGACAATGTTGCAAATTATGGTCAACCAACATCTTTTCACCAATACTTCAAGCATAAAAAATGAGAATCTTTACAAAAATATACAGAGACACCACAAATTGGTAGCTGCCCATAACATTAAACAAACTGGACTCTTAAGAGTGGCTTCTCAACAGCATATCACTTTAATTATAACCATTGCCTGGTACAGGGAAAACTGACAAGTGTTTTGTAAGCATCATTGCAACATTGTATTCCTGATAATTTAAGTAAACCAAACTATGAGTAAATGAATGATACATGCCTAAAATATCATGGTTTAGACTATCAGTGGCCACTGGACTTGGGACTAGTCCAAGACCTTGATCTAGATTTTGACCTAGACCTAGACTGTGATCTTGACTGAGATTTGGATCTAGGTGGTTCTTTTTTCCTTGGTTCCTTTTCATATCTTGAGCCAGACTTATAATGTGTTTTGGAATCTGTTTTAGAGGTGCCTCTAGTTTTGGTGTGAGATGCAGACCTAGAACGTGATTTAGCCTTCATTTCTTTCTTGGGCTGGGACTTGGACCGTGATCTTGAATTGGATTTAGATCTTGAAAAAGATCGATTTCGGTGTTTGAATCTTTCAAAACAGAGGAGAGATACAATTAGAGTAAAAATTAAGATTCTATATTAATTAAATTTATTAGTTTTAGAGCAAAAGCTCACTCTGAAATTGAAAAAATGTGTAAGTCTCTTTCAAAGCAAAGTTATTTACCTATCATTGTCGGAATGGCTTCTGCTACGCCGTGGTCTTCCGGTCGGTCTACTGCTAAAAAGTACACCAGAAAAAGCAAACAGTGACAAATGTCTATTTACAGTCTTATAAAGTTTCTAATTTAAAAAGTGAACCATAAAACTTTTTAAATTAAACACTAAATTATTTTTAGTCTCAACAAAGTATACAATGTATATAATTAGAACTACACAAAAATTTTTTTAATTTAAAGCTAACAAACATAAGTCTTTCTTGACAGATCACCGTGCTACATCACACTTACTTTCTAGGACTATAGGATCTTCTATAGTTGTAATCAAAGGACCGACTTCTTGATCTCCTTCTTTCATAACTTCGGCTTCTAGAACGCCTGTATCTGTCATAATCATCGTAACGTGAAGAACTGTACACATTCCTCCCTTCCTTGGCTTTCATCTGATTTGGAGCTATGAAAGACACAGAACAGATATATTTAGAAATATATGACTTTTGAACTAGATGCTATTTTGGAGTCATCTCACCCTGACTTTCATTAAGAATACAATTAACAATTTCAAAATACTTACTGGTAAGCTATTAACAATGTGTGTCAAAATGCAGTAATAGCCCTAGCCGGTTTGGCTCAGTAGATAGAGCATTGGCCTGTGGACTGGAGGATCTCAATCCTCCAGTAGAGGGCGTGCAGGAGGCAGCCAATCAATGATTTTCTATTATTGATGTTTCTATCTCCCTTTCCCTCCCTCTGAAATCAATTAAAAAATATATTTTAAAAAAGGCAGCAATATACTGTCATACAATTTTAAGAGGCCACAACAAAGAAAAGCAAGAGAGTGAACATTACTGAATGCCTCAGGTACACCCACATCCCTAGACAGTCAATATTTGTTATCTCATTCAATTCTAAGAAGCAGGTACTTTATGTATGTGTATATATATGCATAAATAACACAATGAACACCCGACCAAAGACCTAGAGATTACCAATAGCTTATGTTTACCTAAGCACTCCTCCTCTCTTCGTCAGCTATTTTAATCACTATATTTTTGTATCTTGTCCAAGATAACGATTGTTGAGACAGAATTTAAACCCAGGTCTATCTGGCTTCAAAGCCTGTACTGCTGCCTTATTAGCACAGTTAACATCTGCATACTAATAAAAAACAGTAATATAAAATCTATTCTAGGTTTAATCTACATAGCCTTTCCCAGTCTAATTCATAGCTACACACACACACTCACATAATCACCCAGTTATGTTTTATGAGGAAAAATAGCTCGAGATCCAAAACTTTCTAAATTTTAACCTTCAGTTTCACTCCCAGTAGATTAAACATGCCACAGCTGACAGCATCAATGCACTTAAGAGTCCAAAGATAATTCAGGCACTCCTGTCTTCTCATTACCTATGTCTACCCCAAAACTTTGTAATACATCTAAAAATATGATGAAACAAAGTATTCAAGATATTCTATGTTTTCAAATTATGCTTTATAAACATATTAGGCATAAGGTACTTACTCTTCCGATCTCCCTGTGCAAACTGTATTTCAATTTGGCGACCACAAATCCATTTTCGGTCCAAATTATGTAAAGCATCTTCAGCATCACGAACATCTTCAAATGTGCTAAATGTTAAGGGGCTTGGGAAATTTTGGGAACTTTGATAATGAGTGAAAGTTCACTTGGTAAGTCTTGAAAAATTCACAATATTATTAATCTTTCATTATTACTCTAGAAGATCTATCAGACCCCTCACTAGCTGGCTGAATCAGCTATAAATACTTCGCAATATTAAAGCACTTGTGAATTTCCAAGGCATATGAGTGAAAACACACGTGAATAGTCAAACTGTTATTGAAATAAATTATAGCTGAAATAAAATAATCCTATCAAAAAACTTTGTTTTAAGAATTAACTTTGCAAAACAAGACAAAAAGAAAAACAAGTGTCAGTTCTGTTGTATGTTAAAACAAAAATCTCTTAAAAAACCAAAAATATCCTATTTTTATTGCAAATGAAAAAAAGAAAATGCCAATAGTTCTTGTGTAAGCAAGCAGAATGAATATATCTCACCTACAAGAGGAACGCATTAACCTTAAATTTTGCTGTTTTATTCAGACATTTCTAACACTATTGTTTAACACAGTAGTCTTTCTTTATACCACAGGGAAGGATGGTAACTAGCTACTTGAAATAATGTAAACAAAACAGAATCAAGCAATACTCAAGCTATCACTGTACCAAACGTGTATTACAGCCATGCACAAACAAGCATGCTCTCAATAAATAACTGATCATTTCTATAGATTCCTGGACTGAAAAGCCCTAACATCAATGATACTAACACAGCATCCAACCAAGAAGTGAGTTTGGGACTAGCTTTATCCTGAGCATTTTGATATTATCTAGCAACATAAAGTAGGAACTCTTGGCCCCGTTTTGTTTTTTAATATATTTTTACTGATTTCAGAGAAGGAGAGAAACATCAGTGAGAATCTTTCATAGGCTGCCTCTTGCACACCCCACACTGGGGATGGAGCCCGCAATATGGGGTTATGTCTGACCAGGAATCCAACCATGACCTCCTTGTTCATACATAGATGCTCAACCACTGAGCCATGCCAACTGGGCTCTTGGTCCCTGGTTTTTATCTCAGTTGCTTTGTTCTCTCCTCAATGTCAGCAATAACACCAAAAACTCTTGGCTTTTCATTTATCTCTAAGTTTAGCCTTTCCTAAAACACCATTCTTATGGAAGCCAAGCACATATTCAGCCCTTTGCACTCCGCTGTCCCCTCTCAGGGGACATCGGAATTCTAGCATATCACTCGGATGTCCCCTCTCAGGGGACATTGCAGTTTATTAGTGATTAAGGGGAATTGAGTTAATTCAACGCACGTTTCACAAAGTAGCGTCGAGTAACTGGTAGCCAATGTCCAGAATGGTTCGGAGTGCAAAGGGCAGAACAGTACTTGATGTAAAAATTTTGGAAAGGGAGCTAGTTAGGTTTGAGTGTAGATATTTATTCTATCCTAAGGCATCATTTGAACTTGCCTATTTTTCTGTTTCTTAAATTTGAGAGATTTTGAGAGCAGTGAAAACTACTCCAAGTGACATATTCTCTCCCTCTCCCCCTCCAAGATTGACACTATTCTTTTTTTCTCAGAGACTAAAGGTTGTTCTCACTAGATTTCCTTTTTTGTTCTGAAATAAATTAAGGACCACGGTGGGTTTCCAGCTCTTTTTCCTGAGGGCATTGTTATACGTGAGTTAATATAGAGGGAGAGGTTATCCCAAGTCCAAAATCATAGGATCTTCAATATGACAAGACAAAGACTGACTAGGAATTTAATATTGTAACAGATAAGCCTTCAGGTTAATGCAGTTGGGTTCTAAAGTAATAAAAAGACATAGGTTCACTTAATGGGTATACTAATTTATTTACTTTGCTACAAAAGGGGCAGACAAATGTCATTCTTATGGAGAAATCTCTACTCAGTCTTCTTTAAAAAAAAATTTTAAGACCACAGGAAAAAACCTTCCTAACATAATAAAAGGCTAATATGCAAATCAACAGAATGGCGGAACAATCCTATGTAATAAAAGGCTAATATGCAAACCAACCAAATGGCAGAATAAATTGCCATGACATGCACTGACCACCAGAGGGCAGACACTCAATGTAGGAGCTTACCCCTGGTGGTCAGTGCTGGGCTCATGGCTGGCAAGTGCAGTGGCAGTGAAAGGAGCCTCTCCCTCCTCCGTGGGGAGTGGGCCTAAGCTGGCAGTTGGACATCCCCCGAGGTCTCTGGGATTGCAACAAGGCGCAGGCCAGGCAGAGGGGACGCCCCCCCCCCCCCAGTGCACCAATTTTCGTGCACAGGGGCTCTAGTATGTGTATAAAAAAGTCAATTTTCCTTAGATGACAACACTTATGGTCTTATGTATCACATACTCTTGAGTTAAATTACTGCTGCTCCTGGGTTACAGGCCACTCTAAAACCAGGTCAACATTTTAAGCCAGAATGCATTGCTACTTAAAAAAAAAAAAAAAAAAAAAATCAAGCCAGATATCTTACCCTCTTTGTAATACAACTTTGCAACAAATTGCCACAACGGTCCTGATCACTGGCCCTGTGGGAGTAGCAACTTTCCACATTTGCTCATTAAGTTTCACTAGGACTGCAGTTTCTTTCTTTCTTTCAAAAATATTTTTCCTTTAATTTATTTATTGATTTTAAACATCAATGAGGATTATTGATTGGCTGCCTTCTGCACGCCTCCCATTGCAGATCAAGCCTGCAACACAAGCATGTGCCCTTAACCAGAATCAAAACCAGGACCCTTCAGTCTGCAAGCCTATCCTCTATCCACTGAGCCCAACTAGCTAGGGCTCCACTTCACTAAGTTTCAAGAGACTTTTTGAACTGAAGCAACAAGGAAGAAATTTCCCTAGCCTGAAGTACACAGCCCAAACCTTTGTTGTCTCTCAGAGATTATCTCAGTGAAATAATATCACTGTGAAACTCTGGGCCAGGGAATGATTTCCAAAGGCCTTTTCCAATCTACAAAGAGCCAACCAATCGTAAGTGCTAAAGCAGCGCATGATCAGCAGGCATCACAGACCCAAGTTCCAGAAGTTAGGAACATGTGTGTGCCCTGCAGCAGCCACTTTAAAATCTATCTAGTTTCTCCGTAGATCTGACCCTGTAACACAACCAGAACTGTTTCTAAGTAGTTCCCAGTACATGCATCTCTCTGCTTTTAAGCATAAGCATGGCTCTGTGGAGTCAGACTGACCAGAAAACCTCACGCGACTACTCTACAGGGCACTGCCTTCTATCCTATGGCACCTGACCACCTGGTCCAAAACAGAAATATGCTAAACTGTAAGCTTAAAACATTACATCCTAATAGTACACTTTAACTTGCAAAGCTGCGAAAGTGCATTAAATAAGACCACAATCACAAAATCCAAGGCCCACATAAATCAAGTTACAGGTTTTGTCCCTAAACCAAACCAAAAAATTTGAAAATTAACTGCTTACAAAACATGAAGAGGGGGGGAAAAAAAAGGGGAAAATAGTTATTCTGTAGGATACATCAGGTATGATTCCTTTAATCTTGGCCATCATTCAACTTCATCTTGACCTTTAACTCTTTAAGTGCTTGTCAGAAGGACTTGTCATGAGATGCTTGGCCAAATATGACAGATGGCTTTATCTTTAACTTTGAAAAACAACCTTTTCCCCCTTTTGTAGATAAAGCGAGGCTTTGTCTCCCATTAGGCTTGTCCTTCTTCCAGCTTTTCTTTACTTTTTCTTTTCCCAAACTCTCCCTTCTCTTCAAGCCTGATCCTTAAGAGGTCTTTGGCTTGTCTACTTGCCTTAAGTGTTGAACTCTACTCTAACGGTTCTTTCATGCTTTCTCTTTGGG